ATTACCGATATCAAGCTCTGCATGGGCCTGCTCGAGCAGATGGACCAGGACGGCGTCAAGAGGCAGCAAGAGTATATCAACAAGCATCACCTCACCAGCTCTAAATCAACCCACAACCACCCAAAGTTCAGAGTTTGTCCCCAAGCCCCCGGGTCGCTACGCGAACCCACCCAGGATGAGAGTTCACTAACCATGTCGTGTCTGAACAGAAGGAAAAGCATTCCCTACAGGGTAAGACTGGCAAAACTCATGCCATCTGCTAAGTCCTTCCGCGGCTGCGGTCATAAAGACGGGAATTACTTACGGCACGAAATAAACGATTGACACGACGCATACGACGGCTTCACTGGTGGGTAGGGGCGGCCACGGTGATGGCTTCAAAGCCGGGCTAGGTTTGAGTAAAGTCAGCTGGCGGTATAGGGGGTCATATACTACACGAGTGGATAGGAACGTTACTTTTTCTCACAGCTGTATTTAGCTCAAGAGGTTTGTAGGGGAGAAAAGAATACACCAGTCATTGAATCTACCACGAGTACTCATCATGTACCGACTTTCTGCTGCTACTGGTACGCGTCAATCGGAACAGCGTTGGACACGATTTCGGGTTTGCCCGTATGGCGGTTGCTGAAGACCATGTAGAGAACCATAGCATCAGCCCAGTCCTCGAGGACATAGCCGAGGAGTAGCCCAAGTATCGTCGGGCCCAGGGCGGCTGTGCGTATAGACCTCGCGGTTTGATAACAGCTCGGGACTATAAAAACTACCTTAGAAGTCAGTACGTACTCGTTGAAGATGATCGTCATGCTGGAACGTCTTCTTTCTTGAAGTTCTCGTGCTTGAACATCTCCCTTCCTGACCAAATGCTTGTCTTCGGACCTAGTCGTCAAGATGTCGTACAGGCACGTGCCCACAGCGCATAGCCGCTATGCACGCTCATTCTTCTCCCTCTATGTATGCCTCAAGGAATATGCTTCAAGAAGTTCCGTAAGAGGATAAGAATATGATTGCGGCAGTGGTGATCTAAAGAGGCGGTCACGTATCTATTGATCGGTGTGCTCAGTATCCTTCCACGACCTCAAGCTACCGTGCGCGCACATTATTCCGTTCTCCATTAGGAATTTCGATGACTAGAAGTAGGCGAGGTCTTGTGATCTCCTTGACAGGGAAGTCACTTGATAAAAGACTAACAGGGGCTACATATCGTCGTCGCTAATCTTACTCAATTCAAAGCTTAAGCATCGAAAGCGAACCGTCACCGTGGTATTGCAAGTTCTGGTTAGCGAACTTCTAACTCACGGCAAGTCAAACTTCAACTTCATGCGGTTCTCCTGCACTCTCTTCTCCAGCTCCCCGCCATCATCGGCATAATGCGCCAAGTTCATCGCCAAATCCGCCCACGTGTTACACTCGTCGTCCTGTCTGACATTATACATGTCCACGGCCTGGTTAAAAGCCGTAGTGACGAGCCACTCGAGTTCTTCGGCCGGGAACGGATGCTGGCTCTATCATGTATGATAATGTTTAATGTTTTTATCTTGTCAAGCGTGCCGACCAACAACGAAAGGGGAGGAGGGGGTATATCAGTAGAGAAGCAACGCACCTTGCGAGAATCCCTCGCCACGTCGACAGCTTGCTTCATCAGCCTCTGCCCCAACGCTGCGTCCAGCGGCAAGACGGCGTGGAACATGCATCGGATATACTTCGCCAGCCTGTCGCCTTTCATCTTTTCGAGCTCCTAGATCTCATTGACGATGACGCCCAGCGTGGAATAGAGGGCTAAGGACAGCGAGAACACATCGCATGATTAGTTGGAGACCTCCTTGCAGCGTCCCTTGATGGGAAGACATAGGTGTTGTGGTGGCCGACTGCTTACCTTGTCCAGGCAATCTGCCTCGCAGCGCAATATCCCCCATCGCCTTGAGTGTATTGACATCCCGACACGTCACAGCCGTACGGATGATGTATCCAAGCTCATCAGTCTTCTTCAACGCCATCGCAGCCTCAAAATCAAACACCATCAACGTCGCAAGCTTGGCCGTCAGATCGCTCTTCAGCCTCTTGTCCAGACCGTCACTCATCTGCTTCTCCAGAGCTGCATTATACGCTACAACGTGCCTCCGCATGATAAGGTAATGCTGCAGCTGCTGCTCGACATTGTCTTCCGTCCGGGCGAGCGATACGAGAGCAGCGGCTGCGATAAATTCGCAAAACATTGTCCTAAACGCGAGGTCACTCGCGGCTTCGGCGGGGAGGTCATTTGGATAGTGCTTCGCGATGGTGAGGCAGCTGTCGTACAGGCGGATGAGATGCTTGACATCCCACCCGTCCGAGTGCTTGAGGCCGAGGTTGTATGCATTCTGGCAAAACCAGTCGAGTTCCTTGACGGTAAAAAGCCGGTTACCATCCTTGTCGCGAGGGTCTCGCTGGACCGCTTTGACAGCTACCAGACGATACGATTAGTCTGTGATGTCAACCGATAGATGACTCGCTCTCACCTCCTTCAAACATTACAAGCACTTCTTCCACCACACTTTGTCGCTCTCTCGGACCCTTTTCGCTCTCAGCAACCGAGACAGCGAGGCGGATATTACATCGCAGCAGCGCCGGCAGGTGAATCGGAGACGCATCGCTGAACTCAAACTTCTCTACCAGCTGCTTCATAGCCTGCATCGCGCAGACCTTGTCCCCAGCCTGCTGTGCCTCGAGGACGCAAGCATAAAGGAAATTAAGGTCATCGGGTGCTGATAGAGCCACTCGTTCCAGGCACTCAGCAGCCAGCTCTTGGTCAGATGATCGGAGGGCAGCCTTGTACATCAGATACCTCGTCATCGGTTCGTTTTGCGTTGCCTCAGACATGCTGTGGAAGACTTGCCGTGCCCTCTCAATTTCGTTCCTCCCCAGGGCACAGAGAATGAGCTTTCTACGATCATCAGTGTGGCTGTATCAGGGCATCGAGGATACACGCACCTGCTGAGTCTCGACATGTTTGCAGGGCCGCCGTTTTGGAATAGAGGCTGCAGGGCTATCTGGCACCAGCCATCGGCAAAGTCGAAGTGTCCCTGGTTGTAATTGACCTCGATCTTTTTCCAAATGAGCTGCTCCAATGTCAGTATTCCTCACTCTTCATTTCATCTCTCCCAGGTGAAGCTCACAGTCAACGCCCCGACTGCCGTAGGAGCCCCAAAAGGCTTGCTCAAGTTATCTTGGAGGCCTGCCAGGACCCCCATGAGCTCTTCTATGGCCCTCATACCATCCCTCTGCGTCGTCTCCATCCAGATCCTTAACAGCACTAACCTCTCGACCCACTCTTCGCGTCCAGAAGAGACAATGGTGCCCCTAAGCATCCCATCCACGACACTCGTCGCCAGCGTCGGGCTCTTCTCATGCAACTTGCGCGCATGATGCACCAGGAGCTTAAAGTGCGCCTCGGAGAAGTTGAACGACCGCACCATGCGCCTCAAAATATCAGCGTAGGCCTCGACGTCAAAGACCTCGGCCGGCGCCTTGTGCAAGAGCTCCAAGCGAAGGAGGAGGACGACGGGTTTGTCGCCAATCTCGGACTCGATATAGCTGACCAGGTCCAGCGCCTTTTGCGAAGACTCTGGAGTGCTGAGACCCAGCAGCGCGTGGATCAGGGCTTGACAGACGGAAAGGCGTAGCTCGATGGCGTCGCGGGAGAAAAGCGACAGGTCCTGGGTGTTGATGATGTCGTACCCCCGTTCAAGCCACCGCACCGCCAAGGGGAAGTCTTCCTTCTTGGAGAGGTCTTTGCCGATTTCGAACAGGATCTCTGTCATTTTCTCTGCCGAATTCAAATCGAGCGCGTTTGGCTGGAGGTGTCCCTTGCTATACATGAACTCCATGACGGGCAAGTTACCCGTTTTCCAGGCCTAATTACAACGTCAGTCATATGACCGGTCTATCTTCGTAGCTAAGGGAGACTTGCTAGTGCCGCTCGGAGTATGAAGTATTCAGCGTCCAGTCTTTTGCACTCTAACAAGTCATCCGGTCCTAACATGGCCATCTGTAACTTGCCCAATGCTGCGCTGTATTCCGCCCCCTTCTCGAACACGGTCTCGGCGAGCTTCAAGGCACTCAAACTGGTCCTACCATCATCTGTACGCATGTGAGGAAATTGCCACCTCGATCAAAATTCTCACCAAAGGTCCCGACTTACCAAGACACGTCTTGCCAGCCTTGAGTGCCAACTTCATCAAATGCACCACATCCGCAAGCTGGGGCTCCGCACCGCCCGAGACACGCCTCGCGATGCTCATCATGAAAAAGGCATATGTCCTGCTCCGCAACAGCAGCTTCTTCCTCGTAGCCGGCGCCGGCGCCGTTCCGTCCGCATTATTACGACGTTGTCGGGTACACAAGTTCCAAAGCTCCGTCCCTTTTTTGTCGAGTTCCGCCCTCTGGACTTTCGATCTCGGGCTACCAGAGAAACGGATAATCGTCTCGAGCTGTGGGTTGAGCTCCGCGAGCAGGGCGTCGATGGAGAGGCTATCGTTCGCGGAGGGGAGACGTGTCGAGAAGGTCCGCGAGAATGCTGTTATACTACGGGTTAGCGTGTAGGCCACGTAAGCTGATCCATGGGTGCTACGGACTTGCAAAGGCGGAGATTTTGTCAACGCTGTTATCGCTTTTGGGCGACTTTCCGTGTCGTAAAGGGGGCATTGTGCTTGGCGAGGGCAGACGTGTGAAGTCGAGATCATCAGAACAAGATCTGCACTTTGAGGAGAGCAAGTTGTCGTGTGAAGAATGGGCTGAAGAATGGGCCAGGGGTGCATAGAACACTCTCGTTAGAGCAAGCGAAGAGGTTGAGGGGCGCAGAGATGATTCGATGCGAAAGTCAAATGCCGAATCGTTCGCGGTAGGCACAACTCTCCTTTGTGCCTTCCTCGAAAATAGCGGGATCCGGGCGCGGGGTTACTGCTCCCCGACACACCTTCGGCCCGGACCGGAAAGAACAGGACTTGACGGACATGATGGGAAGCGATGACCTGAGGCTTGGAACCAAGAAAATAAGGATATACTAGATGTGCCTGGTATGTACTGGCGACGGACCCTTTCCTCTCGCCGATGCAAAAGAACGTCTCAAAATGCAACCAACCCGGAGAATGCCTTGGTATCCAATGACGCCTGCCCCTTTGATTTTGTGTTTCCAACCGCCCAAACCTAGGTATTCCAAGAGGTCCCCCCTGTAATGCAAATGATTACGGCCGGGCTAGATCATTGGGCAAAAAGTTACCTACGATGAGCGTAGGACTGTCGACTTGTCAGCTTCACAGAATCCGAGACTATTGGATAGGCAAATACCAACATTTTGTGATTATCTCGTTGAATCATGAATGAAAAGCAGCAATGGACTACCGGGTCTGTCGCCTTGTCGTCTGGGTTCTTGAGTGTGCAAGCTGTAAGTAGCGTGTCGTGAGCGGGATCGAAGGCGATGGTTCCAAACTCTTCCCAATACCGCACGAGAGACTCTTCCGTCAGAATCTCATGGAGTGAAATTTTGCCCTATCATCCGGTTAGCTGCGATGAAGCCTCAAAGGCTTGAAAATGACCTGAGTACATACGTCGCGCAGGTTCTCGACAGGAACATGAAGGAGTTCCGCCATCTCATTATTGCCTCTGAAGATTTCTCCAGTTCTCCTCCAACAACATGCCGGCACCGCCATACTGGCAAACACACGGTCATACTCCATCAGTTGTTTCTCGAACCACATTTCGACGTATAGCAGCTCCATATCCGTCAAAGCTTGGGCCTTCTCGCGAAACTTGGGTCGGAATCGATCGATGGTTCGGAGAATCTTCTGCTTCGACGACGCCGCGATGTGCCCGTCCAGATACGTGCCCAGTCGAGCATAGCCTTTGACATAGTTGAAAGGTTTCAGCAGACCGGCCTCGTACTTGGCCTTCAATACACGGTCCATGCGCTCCTCGGGCGTGTCGTTTCCGGACGGGTCAGCTGCCTGGAGGTAGTATTCGCGCGCCTTGTCTTTGTCGCCCTGAACGATGCTGCCCGGCCGTGATATCGCCTTGCCCTGCTCCAGGTTCTGCGGAGGTAGCATTTGCGAAAGCGCATTGATGCCATTACTAGCACCAGCCCGGTTATTACCGTTGTGGTTCCCAAACGTCGGCAGCATATCGTTGGCGCCGGCGGTCCTGCTAAAGGCAGGGCTGTTTTGTGACTCGTCGGAGACAATGCCGCCGTCGTCCAGCAAACTCGTCTGCAGAAAGTCATTCAGCAGGTTGAACTCGTGCGTGACTTCGGGGGCGATCATGTAGTTGTTGGGGTGGTAGCTTTGCATATCGTGGTAGTGGTTTTGAGCCGTCAACCAGGCATCGGAGAATCCAGCGACTATTAGACCGGGGCGCATCACGTTAGCTTCCGAATTTCTCTCTCGAGTTGAGGCTGCTTGTGCGTCCCCCTTGTGTCGTCCGTAGAAAAGTGCAGACGCTTGCGAGAGAAGCAAGGAGCCCCCAAGCACAAACAGCACCGCACTTTAGAAAAGGGTTAGAACAAGACCACAGGTGAGTACCTACATTGGTTCACGTTGCTGCCGTTTCCCGCCATGCCGGTGCCAGCTGCTGGTGACACGAGGTGCAGCGGGTTCCCCTGGCCTAATACGGCGGCGCCAAAAGCAGACGTCTTGCGGTCGAAAGGGGGCGGCGGGCCCATGGATCCCGTCGCAGATTGGTCGATGGAGCTTCTCGTGAGCTCGGATTGCGTCGTCTCGGACTCATCGACAGCGGATGGCGCGTGAGAGCTCTTGGCCTTTTTGAAATCGGCATCGCGAGGCTCATCGTGGCAGAGGTGGCCAATGTTGCGCTTTATGCATCTTGTACACGGTCGTTCCTGTGCACGACATGTCAGCGGGTGTGGTACGAGCCAAGCAGAGATATGCGCGCACTCGCACTCGCGTAGGTCTCTTGGGAAGCCAAGTAGACGGCGCAGAAAGAGAGAGACAGACGCCGCAGCAAGGCAGCCCGTCGTGTGTCAAGGTTGTGTGAAGAAAAAGATCTTACATACGAGATCGCATGTCATATGCTATAGAGCAGGCAAGACACTATCCGTCAGCCATCTTTTCTCTTTCTCGCTTATTGTTATACTGGCCCTGCAGTTTTTCCTTCTGCAGGAGACGAAGTTGCGCATAGATGCAGGCGGGGGGTTTCGGCAGTTGGCAGAGCCATCGCACGGCAGCAATTGCAGAGACACAATGGCGTCAACGCCATGCGCGGAGCCGGGGAAGCAGTGCCAGTTATGCTGTTCAGGTAAGGGCTATCTGACTTACAGATCGCCGGCAGTAGACGCAAGCTGAGAGGGCACATGACGTTAGCTGGTGCTTCTGCGCGGGGTGAGGCACCGAGAGGGTTGCTGTTGCAGCTGTAACAGCTGTCTCGAGGGAGCTCGCGGCCACGGCGCAGCGGGACGTGGGCTAAACGTACCGTGGTTGACCTTGCGGCGTTTCTTGGGGCTCTTGGCCGGATGAACATGACCGCCATTGTTCTCAGTCTTGTCGCGCTTTTCCTTTTCGTCTTGCGATTCAGACTTTACGTCCTTGCCGTTCTCTGGCATGGCGAGAGGCCCGGGACGCGGAACGGCAGCGGTTATGGGTGGTGGCGGTGGTGGCAGTAGTAGCGGTGGTGGTGGTGGTGGTGGTGGAGGGCGGGCTCGGAATCAGCACAATGGGGTAGCGGCTCCCATTGGACCTCAAAGGTTACGCAGAAGACGAGGGTTCGCAGATCATTTGACACCGGGGGTGGAGGATACTGGTCGGATGTGGTGCTTTCGAGCGTTTGCGCAAAAGATTGGGCGTGGCGGGCTTTTGCAGACAGAGTGGGAGGGAAAACGAGGTTGTCGCGTGCGGGCACCCGGCGGGCTGAGTTCGGCTATGGCTGCTTCGCTTTGCTTGTTGTCGGATTTCTCCCGCCTCACAGTCTTCGAGTTGGACACGGAATGCAAGGGATCCGTGGATAACTGCCGATCCCTTTTCCGGTTCCTGGTCCTCGTATACTCGTCTATTCGTTCGTCTCGGGTCTGGGGATCGTGGAATCGTGGGCGTTTTCGAGTGTGGTCGCAACTTCTGGTGACAGTGGTGGGTGTTGGTGTTTGGTGGTGGGTTTGGAGAGTCGCATGGAGAAGAAGAAAAAATGGGTGCGGGCTTTTGGCGCAATGAGCAAATGATGATCGGTCCCAAGGGAATGGGATGGGAGCTGAACCAGGCGAGCCAGGCGAGAGGGAACCAGCCTGGTACCTTGGCTGAAAGCTTCGGGTTCGCAGAAAAGGAAAAGGAAAAAAACAAACGACAACGGGCAGGCGGCGTATCCGTCCCCAATTGCCATGGGAAGTGGGTTGGCTAATTGAGCTCCCGGCATTCCTTCCCACCCACTTCATTACATTAGCCTTTGGAACGAGCACAAGACAGGCAAGATCGATGTTGTTGTTGCCGCTGTTTGCTGGTACCTAGTGGATTGTACTTTACCCTGCGGGGGATACTACTTCGTCATCTCACTCAACCTTTACTCACTCACTCAATACTCTTTCACTGATGGACTTCATTCATAAGAAATCACCTCAATTGAAACTCTCACTGCCTCGAACTCACATCAATACTTTGGCAGAAAATCACAACTCATGGCCCGGCATCCAAGGCTGGGCGCAGCTGGGCAGAGGTGGATTACAACCAGTAATCGTCATGTAATAAGGTATCCCTCTCCCCCCAGCCCGTCGGACGTCGCCCGATGAGACAAGCAACTGAGAGCAAGAGAGAGAAGCGAGAGGGGAGAGAATGTGATTTGATTTCCCCGCCTTCTCCTTCATCTGGCTTGTCATCTTCTACCTCGGTGAAGGTCTCATCACACACATTCATAAACTCGGTGACATTTCACTGAATGGTACCTCGGTCAATCTTCTGCCATTTAAAAGCAATGATATCACACCAGCACGCATAGCACAGACATTTCCCAGAGGAACCCACCCGTCAATGCAGCTTCCCTTCTGCCCTACGGGCTATCTTTAGTGAATGTTCCCTGGGCAGCTCCATCACCACCGTCGCATCAAACCCAACGGTTATTTCTTGGCTCTCGAAAATGTTAGGCAAGCTCGCAAACCAAGTGGTCCTTCGTCCCATCTTTGTAGATCCTCCCTGTCCACCGACTCGAAAGACTAAGGTAAGGGGGACTTACTTCATGCCTCAACGCCAGTGAAAAAAAAAAGCCAACGGCTGAGATTCTCCAGTCGGCTGCAGCATGCAATGTAATGTAAGCATGAAACCACAGCCCGCCATTCGGCCCAAGTTTTTTCTTCCTCTCGCACTCTCTTGCTTCCCCTCGGCCGCCCTGGTCTAAGGCTCCCAGCTGAAGACAACCACTACCGCTTCGTGCTGCTTCTCATCCTTCGCCCCGGCCACCCAGGCCCCAAAGCCTTCCCCTCATCATCCCATCTCTCTCTGCTCACGAGACTTGGCGATTTGGGGGCGCATTCGAGATCATGTGATGCCTTACCATTTCAAGCATTGCACATGCGTTTCGCGGAAGCAGATGAATGGCAATCTCACAGGTGCCTGTGGAAGCATCCAGATATGAATGAGATAGCACAAGATATCGTAGTTTTCATCAAGGTCGCCTGTCTATCTACGAAGCGAACACCAATAATCGCACCTGAGTACCGTTCGTACCTAACCCCTCCAAGAAAGCAAGTAAGATCCCTATGCAAACCGAGAAATTGCTTGGCGCCCGTCGCTAAATGGCTACGAAAAAGCTCTTCTCCCCCTCCTTAGGCAGCACCCTAGCCCTCCTCATAATCGGATCCTCGCAGCTTAGCCGGATCCTCTCGGGTGTAGCCGGGCTCTCCAGCCTGAGCAACCCATCCCCGTCCCGGTCCTCCCCGACCGTCGCCGCCACCCCGTACTGCGCCCTCGACGCCTTGAGCGCGTCGCGGATCGCAAAGAAGACGGCGCTGCCCATGAAGAGCGGCGGCTCGCCCACGCCTCGCGACCGCTGAATCGTCCGCAGGTCCTTCCACTCCACGTCCTTGAGCAGCGTCACGTTGAACTCTTGCGGAATGTCGCGGAATCCGGGGATCTTGTACGCGCCAGGTCCCCGCGTGAAGAGGTTACCCGCCATCGGCCCGTTGCGGAGCCAGAGCGACTCCTCCATCGTGAAGAGGCCAAGGCCTTGCACAAAGGCACCCTGGATCTGGCCGTAGTCGAGCGCCGGGTTGATGGATTGCCCGACATCCATCTTGATGTCGGCCCGGAGACACGTCCACGTGCCCGTGAGGGTGTCGATCTCCACCTCGGCCGCCGTGACGCCCTGCGTGAAGTAGAAGAACATCTTGCCCCGGTTCTCGCCCCACGTGTACCCGATCTCGGGCGTCTTGTAGAAGCCTTGCGCCGAGAGGTTCACGCGGTCAAAGTATGCCGCGTGCGCCAGGTCCTTCATCGTAGCACCGGGGCCTAGCTTCTCCCTGTACGGCGCCAGGCGCTCGTTGAGCTGCGCGCACGCGTTGTAAATGGCGTAGCCGTTGAGATCTGACGAGGCCGACGCGGCCGTCGCCGAGGCGTTGGCTACCGTGTTGGTCGCCGTCTCGGAGATGAAGACGTTGTCCAACGGTACCTCGAGAGCTTGCGCGGCGATCTGCGTCATCTTAGTGTGCAGTCCCTGGCCCATCTCTGTGCCGCCGTGTGCTACCAGGACGGAACCGTCGTGGTAGATGTGCACGAGGGCGCCTGCCTGGTTCAGGAAGAGGGCCGTAAAGGAAATTCCAAACTTTGTCGGGATGATGGCCAGGCCACGCTTGCGCCACTTGTTACCGTCGTTGAACCGCCTGATGAGTTCTCTTCGCAGCTCGTACTTTGCCTCGTCCTGGACTTGCTTGTACATCAATGGTACGTGCCAGTCAGTTAGGGGTTGGTTGAAGTGCGTCGGCTCCAGCGGCTTGTAGAAGTTGATCTCACGGAACTTTTCTACCGGCATGCCCAGTCGATCCGCAACTTCTTCCATGTAAGTCTCGGCGATGAACATGCCCTGAGGTCCACCGAATCCTCTGAATGCCGTGTTTGACATGGTGTTGGTCTTGCACAGCCGACCGCGGATGAAGACGTTGGGGATCTTGTAGCAGCCGTCCGAGTGGGACATTGCTCGCTCGCAAACCGCCGCGCTCAAGTCAAATGTCCAGCCGGCGTTGTTGAAGACGTCGAGATCCAGCGCTTGGATCTTACCGTCCTTGTTCACGCCGACCTTCCATCTGCCCAAGAACGGATGGCGCTGCCCTGAAGTGACCATGTCCTCTTCTCTCGTTAGCATATAGCGGCACGGCCGCCTGGTTTTCCTCGCCGCGAGTGCGAGCGGAGCGCTGAGTTGGATTGATCTCGTCTCCTTGCCTCCGAAGCCACCGCCGAGTCGCTTGACGCGGACAACGATCTTGTTCGCTTGTACGCCCGTCATTCGAGCAACGAAGACTTGTCTGCAAGCTGTTAGTGCCGTGAAACAAAAGCGATGTTTGATGAAGCAGAGCGAGCTTACGTCTCGTTGGCGTTTTGGGTGCTGGAAAACACCTCCATTTCACCATCCTCGAGCTTCGGGACCACCAAGGAAGCCTGTGTCTCCAGGTAGAAGTGCTCCTGACCACCCATCCGCGCTGTGCCTGTGAAGATGTGGTCGCAGTTCTTGAATGCCTCTTCAGTGTCGCCGTTCTTGATCTCTCGGTAGTAGTTGTGGAAACTGTCCTTTTCAATCGCTTCCTCGATCGTCAGGATTGACGGGAGATCTTCGTACTCGATCTTGACTGCGCGAGCGGCCTCAGCGGCCCTCGATGCCGTCGTGGCCAATATCATGGCAATGGGCTGGCCTGCTGTATGAACCTCGCCTTCCGCAAAGAAGAGTTCGTCAAAATGGGGAGCACCCCAGCGGTTCTGCTCAGGGGTATCAACGTCATCCTTATCGATGTAGTCAACGACGCCAGCCATATCCAGTGCGGGTGAGTAGTCGATCGACTTTATCTTTGCGTGAGCCTTTGTTGACAGCACGAAGCAGCCATGCAGCTCATTCTTGGCCACCGGTAGGTCGTCGATGTACTGTGCTTCTCCAGTGACCTGCTTCAAGGCAGCGACGTGGCTCTTGGACTTGCCCACGGTTTCCTGCTCGTACGCAGCAGCCGCACTGTGATCTTCGGTTCCGCCAGAGATACCACGCTCGAGTTCGTCAATTGCCTCGATATCCACATGCTCGCTCTGACCTCCGAGATTGGTGATGACGTCGTGGTTGAAACGGTAAAAGAAGCTGAAGGCCAGTGCCTTTCGGTACGAAGCCATGCCTCCGGGAACGCTAAACTGCAGGTCGAAGTCGGTTCCCAAGGCATTCATGGCTCCTTCGAGGGTCTCGAGCTCAGCAATACGCTTGCCCACAAGGTACTCCATGGTTTTCTTTGCGGCTACGGTCATGGCAGCCATTCCGCCGTAGATGAGGTTGCACTCGGTCACTACGCCATTATCGTCCATCTTAATCCGTAAAGCGCCGGTAACGATGGCAATGTCATCGTCTTTCCTCTTGGCCTGCTTGTATGCTCTGAAGAATTCGTTTTTAGCAGCTGTCACCGGTATCCTGATGGAAGCGATGATGGCGTCTTGGGGAAGTGCCGTGCGTCGGTATCCTGTGAAGAACTGTGACATGGGGATCTCGGTCTCTTCGCTCTGAGACTTTGCAACCAAGACGGCATTGGCTGCCCAGAGCACAGGGTTCAAATCTGAGATGGGAGACGCAGTAACCAGGTTACCGGCAGGGGTACCGACGTTGCGAATCTGTCTTCCAGCAAAGTACTTTAGTTGCTTGTAAATTCCCTCAAATACCTGGCCACGAGCGTCGCCGTAGTGACGTGTCGCCACTTTGCTGATGTGCTCCAGATCTGTCAAGACGACGTTTCCTCCAATCTCCAGGTGATCGTCTTTGAATTCGTACTGTCTCAATTCGGCAATGTCTCCTACGAAAACGGAGACGGGGTATTGTGCCGCCTTGAACTTGACTTCAATCTGGGTTTCGGTGCTGCCACCAATAATCTTGGCCGCGGGGTGTACGCTCTTGATGTCGAGCAGCTGCTGAAGGGTGACAGGCCTATACCACTTCTTCCTCTTGTTGCCGAACGACAACGGCCTCATCTCGTGCTTCTTGAGGGCGGGCGGGAAGATGAGTTCGGTATCGGGGTTATACTCGATGAAACCGGGGGGCGTGAATCTCTTGATGGGCTGGTCATCGAGCTTCGCCTTGTCCATACAACATCCGCCCTCCTTCTTCTCGCCGTTGCCGTTTTCCATGCAGCAGCCCGAACCACCATTTGTCCTCGCCTTGCCGCATCCTCTCTCAACGCTGAAGGTCTGCGCGGCCTCGAGAATGGGCTTATAGCCGGTACATCTGCACAGGTTGCCGTCAAAGGCCTCCTCGATGTCTTCTTCCGAAGGCGAGTCGTTGTTGCGCAGCAGAGCGTACAGGCTCATGACAATGCCAGGGGTGCAGAAACCACACTGACTTCCATTGCTTTTTGCCACGCGCTCCTGGGTGGGATGTGGCCTCTTGGTGTTTCCGATGCCCTCGATAGTAATTACGTGCTTGCCGTCGACGCTGGCCAAAGGTGCCAAGCAGGCGTTTACGCTCGCGTGGTAAATTTGCTTCGTCGTCGGGTTGAACTGGGAGATAACGACAGTGCAAGCACCGCAACCGCCTTCGCCACATCCGCTGGTGGGTGTTAGTGCGTGCTATGAATGCTTCAATCTCTTGCGCACCAGAGGGCCTAAACATACAGCTTGGTTCCCGTCAAACCGATGCCTCGCAGGTACTCCAAAAGAGTTACCTCTGGGTCGATCTCGTCCAGGACGACCCGGGTGCCATTGAGGTAGAAACGAATGGTATCGTCAAAGTTGGTTGTGAGTGAGTTCAAAGGCCCGACATCCCGCTCGGGGGAGATGGCGATGGGCGCCATGTTGCCAGAAAGCTGTCGAGCACCGGTTCACAGTCGAGATATGGTATTTAGATGACTCGAGGCACGCTTTGGGGGTCTTTGGATAGGAGGAATGGAAGAGCTGAAGTTGTAAGAAGAGGAAAAGGAGAGAAAGGGGAAGGGGAAAAGGTGCGCTTAGAATGGCCGATGCGAGACAACCCCGCAGCTTTATTGCAGAAAGAGAGGCGAAGACGATGCTAATTCAGGTTGAGCCAAGTTTCTGCAGGTACCTAGGAGTAGTATTTGCTGCAGAAGGGACCGCTTTTCAGTCTGTCGTACTTGTGTACTGTATGTGTGTTTATTTACTGCATTCCGCCCGTCTGCATTCATAGAGACAATTGCTTTCTCCCCATGCGTCTTTCCCCTCTGGTTTCTGCTTCCATGTGCTCAGTGCTGTGGCAAGACAAAACAAATGTTGGCTTCGGTTTGCGACGGGCGCCCAGCGAATCAGAGTGCCCAGGTTTGAGCTTATCAGCGGGTCGCGCCAATCTGCATCTTGCGATTTTGGTGGGGTGCGTTATCGTTATCGGCCCTCCCCCTCCTCCCCACTAAAGCCGATGCCTCCCCGCCACTGAGACATCACCATTTAGTTGAAGCCAGGAGCACTGAGGGATCCGTGCAGCCCCGCCGCGCTTCATGCCGTTCATCAGCGGCCCCTCTGTCGGCCGGCTCCGTTTCCCCTTGGTCGGCATCTTCCACCCTGCATCATCAGAAGGTCCAGACATGCAATTCGTTGACTTTTGCACTGATTCCCATCTACTGTGGTATATCCGTATCCAGAGATGCTATGCGGCTCTTTACGCGTGAGATGCGTCAACATGTGGGCCGTCATAGGATTTAATGTTTAATCCATGGGCAGCTGATGAGTCTCTATTACTAAGGATGGAGAATGATGCACGACGACTCTCACCTGAACTCACCGAACCACACCGAGACCACGCCGAAGAGCCAGAGTTCATGATTAGATGACAGAAGGGCATCCCGGCCCTCCGTCCTCAACGGAAATGATCCGTCAACACTCCGTCGCTGACAAACCTCCTCCGTAAACCTCTGTCGTCCATCCCCAGTCGTTCATTCAAACCCCTCTACCCCAATCTACGACCATACTCCCCCGAGTCCCCATGACTTTACCCCAGAGCTTGCGGGCTGAAGAAGGGGGAAGGTTGCTCGTTGCAGGCCCCCCGCGGCTCCATCTTTGTCTATCCCAACTGCCGTCAAACTTAAACCCCCCCCGCCGTGTCAGCAGCCCGGCACCAAATCCGGAACGCCTAAGGCCGATTGACATCGCCGATAGCTTGAACCCCTCCCTTCTCCGCAGGCACAGGTAGCAGTGTAGCATTTCGGGGCGCGTTCCAGCTATGCCGGCTGAGACAAGTCTTGGCTCTTTGATGGGTGCTATGACCGAGGTAGAGTGTAGACCTTCCTTTGCCGACACGTCTGTTCTTAAGCTGTCCTATCTGCCTGCTAAGAAAATACCGTCACCATGGGATATCTGTTAGATTCGACAGCGGACGCCGATCAGAAAGCTCTCAACATGAAGTTCTTCAACGTCATCAACGGCCAGCGCCGTGGCAGCGATAACCATCACCAATGTACAGATCCCCGTACGGAGGAACAGCTATGGGATGCTCCTCTTGCCACGACGCAGGACCTTGAGGAAGCCGTCGAGGCGGCCCAAAAGGCCCTCAAGACTTGGTCCAAGACCCCGATCGAAGAGAGGGCCAACTACTTGCGCAAAATTGTGGAGATTTATACTACCCGCAAGGATGAGCTGAAAGAAATCGTCATGAGAGAAACAGGGAAATCGGTAACACCATCATCTTCATCAAAAAATCAGTTCAGGTGCAGTGATACTGATGGCATGGGGCATACAGAGTCTGATGGCCGACATTGAGATTACAAATACCTGCAATCAAACTGCTTACTACTGTATGCCTGTATCCTTCTGCTGGATTGACTCGCCCGTGCTCACAACCAGCAGCAAACGTTTACCTTGAAGATAAAGTCACTTTCGAGGACGACAACATCAAGATCGTCGCCACTCACCAGCCACTGGGCATCGTGGGGGCTATATGTCCTTGGAACTTCCCCCTCATCCTATCGAACATCAAAGTGGCATCTTCACTCATCACTGGCAACTGCATCATCGTCAAGCCTTCGCCCTTTACCCCGTACTCCGTCATGAAGTCCATCGAGCTCCTCATCGACGTCTTCCCCCCTGGTGTCGTACAGGTGGTCAACGGCGGCGTCGACCTCGGTATCGCCATGACCCTACATCCGGGTATCGCTAAGATCAGCTTCACAGGAACAATCGCCACGGGAAAGAACGTCATGGCGAGCTGCGCAAAGACCCTCAAGCGGTTGACCTTGGAACTCGCGGGCAACGACGCGGCAATCGTCACCGACGACATTGACATTGACAAGGTGGCAGGACAGGTCGCCACCGGTTGTTTCTTCAATGCAGGTCAGATGTGCGTTGCGACGAAGCGAGTCTACGTTCACGATTCGATATATGAAAGGTTCTTGGAGGCCTTCAAGAGCGCGGTTGCCGAGAAATACGTCATCACAAAAGACGCACACGCGCCCAGCTTATTCGGCCCCGTCTCGAATAAGATGCAATATGACGTTGTCAAGGATATCTATGACCATTACAAGAAGAATGGTTTCAATATGATTGCGGCGGAGCATCCTCAGGACTCAAAGGGCTTCTGGATACCCCCAACCATCGTTACAAGGCCTCCTGATGACTCTATCTTGGTCAAGGAGGAACAATTCGGTAAGTACCCCAACGCCAATTCCGAGCATCTTATTCCTCTGGCCCTCTACTGGAGCTATTCATGCTGACTGTATCCCCAGGTCCGATAGTCCCCATTCTCTCCTGGTCAGAGGAGGACGAGCTCTTCCAGCGGGTCAACCTGAGCAACGCCGGGCTCGGGGCATCAGTATACTGCCGTGACGTAGGCCGGGCCGAGAGCCTCGCCCGGAAGGTAGAGGCGGGGACAGTCGCCATCAACGTCTCCGAGATACCGCACCACGGGGGCTACTTCTCCGGCATGAAGGACAGCGGTCACGGGGGCGAGATGGGCAAACACGGTCTTCACTCGTACTGCTACACGCAAAGTCTGCAGTTTGGAAAGAGTTGATGAGTCCCATGGCCAGAGCAGACATGGAAGACCCGGATAGTCTCATTCAGTGTTACTTCCAGCGCATTAGTCGGAACTTTGTACCGATAGTCGAGCATTGTCAAGACATAGTACATATAAGTGAATCCATCACCATCACAGCACTTAAGCAGCATTCGCCCGATCCTCAAGCTCGACAAATTGCGCTGCTGTATCCCCAATGGTGTCCTCCAACGTCCTATACTGCATCCCAAGAACCTTCTCGGCCAACGACGCATCAACCCCAAACATACCCTCCGCCAGTGCCGCTTTGGCCGGGTCCCCCTTTGGTATCCGCTCCTCCCATTGCGGCAGCTTTTCCCGCAAGATATTCGCCAGTTGCTGATTAGACACGCCTCCGGGGCTCACCAGGAACCTCTTCCCGCCCGCTTCAGGCGTCGTCGCCGCCAACAAATGCGCGCGCGCGATATCCCTCACGTCGACGTACAGGTGCAGCATCTCGGGCGGGATCGGCGAGTCCGAGGTAAGGCTTGGCCTGCAGAGGCTTTGGTAGAGCATGTGGTTGCTTTCGTTGAGGTTCTGTGGGGAACTCGTAGCTGAGACGTCGTAGAGGGGTCCGTAAACGATGGGTGGGCAGATTGTCAAGAGGTCGAAGGCGGGCTTGGGTTCGGTGTCGGACATGAAGGCCCACGCTGCCTTTTCTGCAAATTTCTTGCTGGCGACGTAGGGTATCGCCGGGTGCGTTGAGGCCTCTGCGTCCTCTCTCGAGACACCGAGCCAATCGCTCTCCTTATAAATCTTGGGCGGGTTGGAGACGGATGGCTTGGTGATGTCGATCACGGCAGCCATGGAACTCGTGACGATGACCCTCTTCACGGATGGCGCCTTGCGCACCACGCCATGCAAGATCTCGGTCGTGCCCTTGACGGCCGGGTCGAGGAAGTCGGCGTTGGAGTTGCCTTTGCGGAAGTTAAAGGGCGAGGCCGTGTGGAGGACTACGTCAAAGGGCGCGCCTTCGGAGACGAGGACGGTGTCAAAGGCGCCTGGGGCGGCGATGTCGGGTACCAGGGCGAAGTCGAGCTGCGTGGAGGGATAGGAGGCGAAGGTCTTGCGGAGCTGGTCGACGGAGGACTGGGAGCGGACGACGGCGCGGACGGAATGGCCCGCTGCGAGGAACTGGACGAGGATGTGTTGGGCTATAAAGCCATTTGCGCCGGTTAGGAGGACGCGGAGAGGCATCTTTGGGGAGGGTTTGCTGGGGCGATGGTTTCTTTATTCTGAATTTTCGACTTCCAGCAGAGGGCAATGGATAGCTGATCAGGGCCAGGAACGTTGAGCTTCATACTGAACTTCTTTATAATACCACTCGCAGTGCTGCCGGAACAGTTCCGACCCCTCCGATGACATGTGGAAACATGCTATCACAGCAAGCATAGCTCCATGACTCGCAGCAGCTTTACACCTGTCTCCCCTCTTAACCTCCTAAGGTCACCAAAACCTCGTACAAAAAGTGACCGAGCAGCGAGGAGCTTTCCGCCCGAAAGCAAGATTTTGCTCTCAGGGCACTCGTCTGCCGGTACTTGTTACCACTTGAAGAATATGCCGCGGGACGGATAGGCTCGTCGGAGGGACGGCCTTTATTAGACTTTTCTCAATAGGTGCGATTGCAACTTTGACTGGGGGTTTAGGCGTAGATAGGGCACAGCAGTGGCAGCACACGGTAAACAGAACCTCTCCGAAGACCGCGCCGGTGGGAGGGGTAATGGGCACAAGAGACAAGCTGAGATAATGCAGTGCTCCGTGAGCTTCACCCGTCTACGGTGGTTGACGAAGGAACGCATCTTCCGAATTCAATGCCGGTCTTTTAGAGTTTCAAGGAACCGAAGCCATCGGCTGTGGAAAGGCTTGCCGTAATTGGGAACGAACAGCACATATCTTACTCGCCAATGGCCTTATGGCAACGTCCTATGTGATTAGTATTCAGGGTGGGTGACATAATTGCGTAAGTGCGCACTTCGTTCTAGATAGGCCCAGCCACGCTTGATCAGCACCACACAGGAGCCAAAATACATCCGGCCGGCATTCTAACAACTCGGAGCTTATTTATACGAATACATGAGGCAAAGGAGCCCGGGAGTCTGGAGGAAGTTTCCGATCGCCCCTGCTCGTCGGACGGAACCCCCACGTTCCCTACCAACCCTACAAACGTGCCCCCGTACCTCCCGCCTCCGCACCCGGCCGATATGCGAACAACCCCAAAACCAACCAGCCAATCCCGGCTGCGACCCTAAAAACCTGCCCCGGAAAGCTCCACTTTGTCGGCCCCGCCGCTCGCGTCCATAAGCGCCAAAAAAAATCACAGAAACGGAAATCCTGCATGAATTCTCAAAAAACATTGACCAGCCTGGGGGTCGAACCCAGAATCTCCTGATAACAATTTCATCGTAGTCAGACGCCTTGCCATTGGGCCAACCGGCCTAATTTGGTTAAATCCCGAAGTGGATGTTGGCGATCTTCACGGAAGTTGCAAAATATTCTTCTCTTCTGGATGTTGACCCCCGATCAGCAACAACCCTTCGTACCAAGGGGCATCAAGGCAAGCGCAACTGCCACATACGAGGAGTGGTCATTGCATTGACATATATCTCTAGTGGCTGCTGTTTTTGAGATAACCCAGGTTATGGTGAGCACAAGGGCGCTCTAGCAACCAACGGTTAGGCTCCATGCACTACCTTAGGTTGGCCAAAGGTACCTTAGATGCATGTGCGGAGTGACGAGACGACGACGAGAACGATAAGGCTAATCCGCTACTGAATTTCCATTGCTTCTCGTGAGATATTTATCCGCAAGACCATGGTGGAATTATCTTGTTCTGCCCTACCGCAAAGCTTTCTGTCAAAATGCTCAGGCGCGACCCGGAGGCTGCAGGCTTTAGAGATCAGTCCTAGATCCGCTGGAGCGCCGGCAATACCTGGCTAAGAGATTATACCAAAGAAGTTCTGGAGGTCGGCTCCAGAATCTAGCGAACTAAGATGTCCAAACTTGTGGACGTATGTTCCTGAAGGCATTCCATGAATCAGCCTTGTCTGTAGGTGTAAGTAACTAGACACTAGCTCAGAGGTCGGCGTACTGCTAGTCACGCGCTGATATTTCAACTCGCACCTGATGATCCGGCTCCTTGTTTTTCTTTGTCTTGGATGATATGTTTATCTTTGAATACTGATTGAGGAATGCCTATTGAAGGCTTTCAGCGGCACACAGCAGAGGAGCTTGTCTCCTAGGTACTGGTCTGTTTTCTCATGGGGGTACGCCTACTTTTCACTCACTACCTAGACTAGATCCTCTCCCTTTCTCACTTGGGGTACTTTGAGCTTCCTACGTTGTCGTATACTGTCTCTCGCGAAGCTGCCGGTATACGTTTCAGCAAAACTATGTGCGCCTTCTGATCACGTCAGTGCTTCTAGTCTTACGAGGGCGGTTGACCTGAGCGATAGATCCCGTCGCTGGATTATGCTTTATAGTCTGGTTAAAGTTACTCGAATTTCCAATAGCATCCAAGATCACTTTAAGCCTTGCGGTGGCCAGCTTCAACCATAACATTATCTGCCAATGTACCGAAGGACTCTGGCATTATTGAATTGATCACACCCTTGGTCACATATGTGTTGCTGTCAGGCTTCTGTCCCTGGTTAAAAAGCTGACGCAATGGACTGGTTGCTAACCCTCTTCTATTCCAGGTTTCTCTCAGGCTTTATCGAAATGAGCTACCAACGCAGCAGTACTGAAAGCTATAAACGTACTTACCCATCCCATGTTTCGGCATCAAGAATCGAAAGAAGGAAGAGCATACCTGCTGGTATGACCAGGTCGCATTGCCTTCGGATGCAAAATGTCGCCGCTCACAGCATCGTCTCTACATCTCTTCGTTTGCGTCGAATGCGAAGACGAATTGCTACTTACTACTTCTTGACATACCATTATATAATAACTGAGACGTCTTCAGCTGGAGGCAAGGCTAATTAGTCTTAGACTTCCGGCATGTAATTGTGTCTGGGTGCATGTCTAAATTCATTTTTGTCGACGTTGCTGTTACCACTGTTCTACTTCTCCCCAATCCTTGACTTCGTAGCGACTTTCTCATTTGGGTTTCTCTGAGTTCTATCTTCGGCAGACTTGTTGCCGTAAAGTAGGATTTGCGCTGCTAGTTATCTACTCTCTGTAGAAGTGGTAAGAAAACCACGAATGTTGCACCTGGAGAAGCAGTTTCACAAAAGAGTCATGCAACATTAGCGAGGAAATGGTTCGCTGTGGTTGGCTCAAGCTCCCTTGGTAATGTAGATCGTCATGCTATTGATCTATATAAGTTTATGACTTAGTCATGTCATTTGACAGCTACGCTGCGAATTGCACCTGTTTGAGGCTGTAAGTAGCTGGGGTGGTGGGGCTCACAATCAATCTGCGCCAGCGATCATGACTTCGCCATAGCTATAAACGGCTATTTCGGTATCTAAAGAGCGCCCCATGCTCGGAGACTAGAAGCCTTTAACTCTGTATAAAAGTCAAGTTGTCAAACCTCATGATTGTCAACAGTTCATCCCACCGGCTCACTCTTTTACACTTTTACCAAGCCAAAGCAAAACGTTATCTACACTTCACACTTCCAAACCTCCAAACTCAAGCACTTCAAGGTGAGTTGATCCCTGCCGTAACTACACATGACTAGAAACTAAGATTCATTGAAATTTAGATGGCTCGCTTTATCTTCGCTGTGGCTGCCCTTTGCGCTGCGGCGGCCCAAGCTCACCCCCAAGCTCGAGGCAACTGCGGGTTCACGTTCACCGCTTCTGGAGGAGGCCAAGCTGGCGGATGTGTTGGTGCTGGTGACACTGGAGGTGTCTCGATCCCCGAGGGACCTTATGTCCAGTTCGCCATTGGCAGAGACTGTGAAGTCAGCGTCACCAACGGCCCTTTCGAGGGGTTGTCTGTTCAGTCTACGGGAGCGTGCTAAGCAACCGAGCCTA